ATGTATTTCAGGACACCCATTCTGTGGTCTGTCCTACAGCTACCACAGCAGAGTGAGCTAGATTGGTTCCTATTGACCCAGGAGAATGTCAATAATACATTAGCAGAAGAGAGCAAGTCGTACCACAATGGGCACAATAAGACCCAGTTTGGATACAAACAGCATCATCACCGCTGTGTATTTATGCACCCATCTATGCAGTGGGTTGGACGCCCCAGCCTGCAAAAAAAGGTCTACTTAAGTCCTAACCACCAGCCAGGTATGACTTGGACCCTATTGGGAAATCGGATCTTTTTAGAATCTCTCATTAAGCACAAACATCAAAATGTGAAGCTATTGTCTTTTGACGTAGCCTTCGTCTAGTTCTATGTGTTCTGAAGGATGTGTTCCCGTCTCTCTAACCGTTTCCCAAAGAGTTTACACTCTTCCATTTATACCTGCCCAAATGGGACTTAGGGCATCACTGAGTCCAACTCTTTTAATGTGTTCTTTAGATTTTGAAAACAAAAGGAAGCCTGGAGGCATAGACTGAGGCTGTTGGGTGGACGGGGTAAGGGTTCCTAAAGAAATTCTTGTTGGACAGGTCTTGCTATCCTTGAAGAATGAGCTGATCCGTGGTGGTGATAGAAAATTCTTCCTTGGTACAATTTCTCAAAACAGAGTTTTCAGACTGGCTAGACCAGAGGAGCTACACTGGTACAGATGGGAACTTGAAACACGGGGAATCCAGGGCGGATGATCCCTTCAGGACCAGTGCTGAGAGTGGCAATACTGGGAGGGTGGAGGGAAGGTGGGGTAGAAAGGGGGCACCGATTACAAGGATCTGCATATAAACTCCTCCCTGGGGGATGGACAACAGAAGGGTGTGTGAAGGGAGACATCAGACAGTGTAAGATATGACAAAATAATAATAGTTTGTAAATTATCAAGGGCTCGTGAGGGAGGGGGGAGTGGAGAGGGAGGGGGGGAAATGAGGAGCTGATATCAAGGGCTCAAGTAGAAAGTAAATGTTTTGAGAACACTGATGGCAACAAATGTTCAAATGTGTTTGACACAATGGATGTATGTATGCATTGTGATAAGAGTTGCACGAGCCCCCAATAAAATGATTAAAAAAACCAAACTTCCTGAATAAGCCTCTGTGATCGTTTTGGGTTCTTTGAGAAACTATATCAAGATCATCCCATGGAAATCCCCAGCAAGAATCACCTTCACCCTCCGAACTGACTGCTCTGATTTGAAGTTCACTGGCCCAGCAGAGTTCTTCAGAAGGCATGGTTTTGATTGGACCTTATTTGGGTTTGCCCCTGAAGGCACCCTTAGGAGACTCAGACAGGTGCACCGCTGAGAGAAGTTGTCTGTATCCACCCACTGTTTGCAGAGACATATTGAATTAAACACATTTGGTTGGCATAAACCTGGGCAGGTATGACTTGGAACTCTAGTAATACTTTTTCATTTACCCTCAGATATAGGACTCACTGCCATCGAGTCAATTCCAAGTCATAGTGACCCTCCAGGGCAGGGTAGAACTAACCTGTGAGTTTCTGAGACTGTATCTCTTCTTTATGGGAGCAGAACGCTTCGTCTCTCTCCACATGCGCGACTGATGGTTTTGAATGCTGATCCTGCAGTCAGCAGCCCAGCACCCCACCAGGAATGACGCATACCATACATTACGTGAAGTCTCTGTGACACAAGTGCTGTGCCAATCCCAGATGGTTTCCCTTGGGCTAGCTTACTGCTGGGGGCCCTGGGGGCCGTTCCAATTCACGCTGGATTATAAGAACAGAATTGTTGACTCAAAAAGTATCTAAAAAAATATCTTTCTAAAACGTACCATGCGAGCTCCTTGCTCCCCACTTAAAACTTTTCAGTGGCTCCCTAGAACCTTCAGGGTAAAGTTCAAGTCCCTGGCTTGCATGGCAGGGTTATCTCTGGTCTGGCTTTTTCCGTCATTGCGCTCTGTCCCGGCACACCCATCTTCCTCTTCTTCCTTCTCTGGTGAATGTCTCCTCAGCCAGGTCCATCGTGGGGCTCTAGCTTTTTATTTTTTGAATCCCAAGGTGGGATGTTAGAGGAGGCAGGGGCTCACTTGTGTGTCCCAAGGCCTCCCAGCCCATGACCCCAAGATTACCTCCCACTTCAATCCTGGCAAGTAAACCTGGATAGAGCCAGTTTCATCTAGGACACTGTGCAGCGGGGTGGAGCTGCACAACGTGGATGTGTGGTGACAAGAAGCGACAAGGCCTAAGGCCTGGCAGGATAGGGGGTGAGACTGCTCTGGTCTGCTGCTGCGGAGGTGGTGTGTGACTTTGCCCAGCCAGGTCCAGAAAGGGCTGCAGTCCCGAGTCAGAGGGCATGTTCCCATGAGTACCACACTGAGAGCTCTGAAGGAGAAGACCCGGCAGGGGACGCTGCAGGCTCTCGTGAAACCTCAGGAGAGACCCTACGTCCAACAAGAGGAGGTATTGCTGTGTCTGAGAATGGGAAATCGAGGGGCTGATCTGAGCTGCTGCCCTTACTTGGCTTTTCACCTCCCAGGGCAGCCCTCAGGAGCAGGGCTCTGGAGACCCACGCACCCTGCTAAAGCCAGGCCTCATCCAATGAGTGGACTGTAGGGGCAAGTGGCTTTGGTTCCTGAGCCTCTCTTCAGTCACTGCTGAAAGGGACCGGAGATGCTTACACTCACGGGGTTTGCCTTGCTGCATATAGAGTTCTCGGCCAGTACACATGAATATAGAGAGTTGACAGAGGCTTTTGTACGTATATTCATATCTACCTTTGCTGCAAATAAGCCATGAGTGTGGTGTAGCATACCGGAGACAAAGTTATGAAAAGTTGCTGGGCCCAGGACCATAGTCACGGGGGACAATTGACATAACATGGTCCCCCAAAACAATACATTCTACATCCTAATTTGATGAACAGTGAGGGGGGCCTTTCGAAAAGCTTGTGAGTAGCCATCTGAGGTGCAACTCTTGGTCTCTCCCATCCAGAGGAAGGAGAGTATGAAAATCTAAACACATATAGAGACAATTAGCCCAGTGGACTAATGGACCAGGTGAACATCAGTCTTCGCAACACTGAGACCAGAAGAACTAGGTGGTGCCTGGCCAACACTACCAAATGCTCTGGGAAAGGTCACGTTCAAAGGTTTGGATAGAATGGGAGAAAGATGTGGAACAGAACAACAACAAAAAAATCACAAAAGAGACCCAGCTTACTGACTGGTCTGAGAGACTGGTGGGCCTCCAGGACTATGTTGCTTCCCCTCCAGGTGTGGAATGGAGCTCACCTCTCTGATAGAATGACCAACCATTGAAGATCCACGGTGCAGGGTCTACCCAAGGGCCGAGTCCCGAGGGTTAGGAAAGGAGGAGGAACGGGGACAGGAGGCCCAGGGAAGTGGGATCAGAGGTAGTGGATTAAAGGGATCGCTGTGCACTGAGGGGACGGCATATGGCTGAGTTGAATCAGAATGCGGGTACATTGTGCAAAGTTAAACGGAGATCTGCTCTGGAAACTGCCACGCAATTCACGAAAAAAGTTAAAAAAAAGAAAAAAAGTACTTGGCCTGGGCACGGACGCTGACAGGGAGCATGTTTCAGGCTGTCAAATGGAGGTGCCCCTGAAGCACATCTCAATTGCAGTGCTCGGCTGAGAGCCCGCTCCCCGGCTCCTAGCCCGCCTCATGAGCCCTGTGGTGTTGGGGGACCCAAAAGACTGAGGTCCAACGGCTTGTCAAAGACCGGTTGCCTGTCCTTGTGGTGTTAGGGAAGGGGGTCTGGGGTCAAGCCTGTGAGCAGTGCCCTGGGGTCATCCTAGGTCCAAGCCTAATGGTTAGGACCTAGCCATGGAAGACACTGCTGCGA